TTCGCCTTGCCGGGGGGCGGCCAAGGCACGGCCAAGGCAGGGCCAAGGCGTAGCGGACCAAAAGTGTGAAAGGCACAGCAGTAAAATAAAAAGGGGACGGGGAGGGCCCTTCACGTGGCTCATTATTTGGGCGTCTTTATTGAGTCCACTGCTCAGGCCCACAGGCCCACAGGCCCAGAGGCCAAAAGGCCCCATTGGCGCGAGCGACGGCGTGCCTCGGGGACTGTCAACCCGACTGCATCGAATCTGGACCAACCTTCGAGCCCTTCCACCCGGAACCTCGCACCTTCGGCCTTGAACCGCCAGCCCTCCGTTCGACCCTCAAACCCTGAGCCTCGAGCCCCGCGCGCCACCAAGCTCGCCACCCCCTCCACTCCCCCGCCCGGCGTGACTCACACCTGCAAGAATCTCGTAACGTCAAATTGGGGTTCGCGCCGAAGGGCCAGCGGCAGGCAGGCAGCGGCTGTAAACAGCGCCTTTTCGCACGTCGCCGCATTGGCCGCACTGCAGCGCCGAGACTAAAAGCCAACAATTCCTTCCTTGTTCCGTCTACCACCGTCTACCGCTGCCGAGACCCAGAGGTTGTAAAACGCTTTTGTTTCCGCTTCATATTACTATTGCCGTTTCCGTGGCCAGGACCAGAGGTGCTGCTTTCCCACGCAGACAGACAGACAGACAGACAGACAGACAGACAGACAGACAGACAGACAGACACACAGGTATTGAGGCAGACGCGGAGGCACCTGCAGTTTGCAGCAACGTCACCGTAGCCTATCTGTCCAGCAGCTCGGCTCTGGCCATTCTGGCCATTTTCGATTTCGAGGCCACCAAAAGTCGACCCCATTGTAAAGGCTGGGAGTTTGCAACCCCTAGCATGAACATGAACAAAGACACCAAAGTGCACTCCGTGACTTACTATACTTGAAAGCTAAGGGCCAAATTTGAGAGAGGTCCTTACCGAACAGTTATACAAAATTTCCAAAAATGCTTTTACGTACACTGTGGAATGTGTCAAGGTCGGGTGTCCCGTGAATGCATGACGGAAATTGGCACACTGAGCACCCCGACTTACTTGTTACATTGGCCTGGGTATCCACGGTGAGCACGGTGAGTCATTGGATTCACTCATTGAATTCACTCCTTAGATTCACTTCTTTGTATGCACTCGTTGAAGTCATTGGATTCACCCATTGAATTCACTCCTTGGATTCACTTTTTGGATGCACTCGTTGAAGTCGGTTTCACTCATTGCATTTCACTCATGACATTCACTTCTTTGAATTCACTCCTTGAATTCACTCCGCCGGGTCACTGTTGTCACTGTAATCCGCTCCAACCGTCCACGCGGCGTGCCCGAGGCGTGCTGCGCCCTGCACTGTATGCGGTCCTCTCGCTACGGCCCTCCCCACCAGACTGCAGGCTGGCTGGGCTGAGGCCATGGCTGAGGCTCGGTCCTCACGGTCCCCGGTCACCGAGCCAGCATGGCCCGCAGCATGCGTGCGCTGCGTGCGTGTGACGGGGCTGTGACAGGGCGGCCGGGGTGCATCTCTCTGTCCCTCTCGCACTCACGGTGGGGCGAGGTCTTTGGTCGAGGAGGTCTAGCAAATCCCTTCCAGATGATGCGGCACTCCCAGCAAGCACGGCAACGTACGGCAACAGTCAGTCGCGCGAGCTGGTCTTTCCGGCAGGCTCGGACTGGCCCCCAAAAGGTCCCAGCGGATAAGACCGCAAAAGGCCCCCGATCATCATTATGTTTTTACCCTTCATGACCAACTTTGTGAGGCTACCGCTCCCAAACTAGTTGCGGTCAATAGCCTTCCCGATACAGGGCATGAAAGAGTAGGGTCTTAAGGATACTAGGACGTCGAGGGAGGCCTTTTACGGCGACTAGATTGGACACAGTGGCCACCCAAAATCAGCAAAATCAGCAAATTTCCGAGATTCGACAACTTTTTGACCAACTTGGTCGGAAAGTCGTTGCGGTCAAAGCCAAAATTGTTGTGGTCAAGGTCTTCCCGATACAGGGCACGAAAGAGTAGGGTCTTAAGAATACTAGGACGTCGAGGGGGCCTTTTACGGCAACTAGATTGGACACAGTGGCCACCCAAAGTCAGCAAAATCAGCAAATTTCTGAGATTCGACCACTTTTTGACCAACTTGGTCGGAAAATCGTTGCGGTCAAAGCCAAAATCGTTGTGGTCAACGTCTTCCCGATACAGGGCATGAAACAGTAGGTTCTTAAGAATACTAGGACGTCGAGGGAGGCCTTTTACGGCAACTAGATTGGACACAGTGGCTACCCAAAGTCAGTAAAATCAGCAAATTTCCGAGATTCGACCACTTTTTGACCAACTTGGTCGGAAAATCGTTGCCCTAAGAGTGCAAGAGTGACAGAGTGACGAAAACGCCCACTCTCAGAATGAGTGTGCCGAATCGAGAAGGCAGAGAAGGGTTGAACTGTTATGACGCGTTGCGTCGCAGGTGGGCACGCTTTGCCGCTTTCCATTTACACGGCTTACTTAACACGGCTATAATGTGTGATGCGTTTCCGATGAATTTATAGTGGGGAGGGCTTTGACGCACGCCGTGCACGCCGTGTCCGAGGGCCAGGGGCAAGAGGTGGGGGGGGGGGGGGGGGGGGACCCCCGCGGTGCCGGCACGCGCGTGCCTCGGCGCGCCGCACAAAAGCGCGCCGTCTCATGTCTCTGTCTCTCTCGCACCCCTCCGGAACGGCGCACGAGTGCGAGAGAGACGGAGAGCTCGCGAGTTCGGGTTAGGCTTGCTTCGGCCTGCAGCGCACACTGATTCCGAAGGGTTTGTCTCGTTCGTTCGCCGTGTCTCTCTCGCACTCGTGGGTCTTCCCGCGGGGGTGCGAGAGAGACGGAGCCGCCACACGCCGCCAATTTGGCCGTGCAGCGAGTGCATCGCCACGGCGATGTCCCCCCGTTCCCTCATTAGCGGATAACAAAGGCGCGGCACAGTAGGCCGAATTCCAGATGCTTTCTTTCACCCCACTTCGGCAATTTGGCAGAAAAAATTTTCTCACGGTGGCGCGGGTGGGGGTGGGGGTGCGCGGAAAAAAGTGAAGGCTGACTGACTTGTCGGACTTGTCACGTCAAGGGCGTTTTGGCGCTTTTTATAGCGGCCGTGGCCCCGTGCCTACCTTGGCCTGCGCGCGCACCTGCCGGAGCGATTCCGAGCGGACCGTCGCTCTGTCTCTCTCGCACTCATGGGGCGTCCCGTGCCGGTGCGAGAGAGACAGAGCGACCGGCTGACAGGGCCGACAGAGACACCGTGCTGCGAGGCATGGCCAGCCAGGCACTCCAGGCGCGGCGAGAGGGGCGCGTCGAATGTGGACGTTCTCAACGCACTGGAACACTCGGACACACGGGTCAAGCGAGGACCGACGACTCGCCCGAGTGTTGTCCAGACTGTGACCCCATATATTGCAAGTAAATAGAGTACACTCCCAAGGAAGGCGATTGTAAAAATCTTTTAGTTTGGTTACAACTGCTGGTCGACCGATTTTACAGCGCGGGGCGTGTGTTCGAATCCCCAAATCGACCCCTTTTATTCCCATAAAGGCGAAGCGTGTGGCTGTGGCTCTCCAAAATGTTCGGGGGGGGGAGGGTGTCGCTCTGTTTTGGGTCATTAGGCCCGGCACTCTAGAAAATAAAACGCCGGGAAATAGAAAGGCGGCGACAGAATGGAAAAAGGAAAAGTGTAAACAGCCACGCGGGGGGAGGAAAGGGGGGGGGGAATCTGTTGCATGTGCGATGCCGGGCTGCGCGGCCTAACCCCTCAGAGGTGCCGGAAAGAGCGGCAACCAACCATGAGAGACTAATTTGTCGTTGACACACGAGAAACACGACACCCGACGGCGAGGAGCTGTCATTTTACGATTTTCTCGCCTCGCGCGCCCCTCTTAGGGGCCGACTGTGCCCCCTGACTCCCCCCCCTCCCTTTTCCGACTGGGGGTCACTCATTTGGGTGCCCTTGGAATCGGAAATCGACCCCCCGTACCACGTCGTTCCCAAAGCAGCCCATTTTCCGTTCGTTTCCCCTTTCCGAATTTGGTCCGCTTGTATAGTCTGGGAGAAAAGGGAGGGGGTCCCTAAATGAGGCAGGGAGAAAGGGGAAGGGGTGAAAGGGAACTGGGCAGCCGGGCAGCCGGCAGGGCAATGGGCTGTGGCACTTTCGTGCTTTTATTGTGTGTGGCCCTTTTGTTTAGTCGCCGGAGTCAAACTGTCTGGCGAGGGGGCAACACACTCACACCCACACATGCACGCTCACACACACACACACACACACACACAGGCGCACACACACAGGCGCACACGTGTCACGTCACCTACCCAGTCTGACTGAACTGACGTATTCAAAGCGGACCGGCACGACACACCGTGAGAGTAGGCGCGTCGCGTTCCAAATTTTCTTATTTTTTCTAGTTTTGTTGTTGTTGGTTTTTCCTCTGTGGGACTACAGCTGGCCCGTGGTCAAGGTGCGAGAGCGACAGGGCGACAGAGCGACGCAACGCGGAGGATGCGACAGGAAGATGCGACGGCGGCCACACTGTCGCTGTCTCTCTCGCACCCTCACGAGATGCCCCATGAGTGCGAGAGAGACAGAGAGCGGCCCGCAGCACCCTTTGCCCTGCCTCGGCCACGCCCGCCCCGTCCGGTTCGGCAACACCCCATCGGCCCGACCGCAACATCCTGTGAGGCGGCCCTGGTCCTTTGCCACCCCCGTGCCGAGGGGCGGGGCGGGGCGGGGCGGGGCGGGGCGGGGCGGGGCGGGGCGGGGCGGGGCGGGGCGGCAGGCGGCTCCGGACGTCTCAAAGGTCACTTCCGCGGGGCCTTGACGCTCCGACTGGCGAGGCGAGTTTCACTTTCGACCCCCAATCAGTCGAGCGATTCCGCCGGCCGCACTCCTCGCTCTGTCTCTCTCGCACTCACGGGGTGCGCCGTGAGGGTGCGAGAGAGACTGGCACGCCTTCTTACCGTGAGTGTCCTTCGAGTTGGTCGGCGTCTGAGGATCCATACGGCCGAAGCGGAGGACAGCTTCCGGTCAGTATCCAACCTGCGGGGAAACATCACAATGCATCAAAACTATTGGTCAGACGAAACAGACGTGAAAATAACAATGACACTCTCAGAAAAAGCTTTGAAAAAATTGTCGCTTTGATGAAACGGCGTACGTAGCATCAATACGATTGATTCGGTTGACTCAACTGAATTTTCATGACGAGACAATTTTTCAATCGAACATTGATTCTTTTTCGACGTTTGAAAGGTTTAGAGACTCTGCAAACCAATGGGTCGTCTCGCAAGGGTGCGAGAGAGACAGAGCGACGAAAGCAGTGCTCGGCATCAGTCTGCTGCACTGCGCTGCACGCGGCCACTTCGCGCGGTGCGTAATCGGAGCAAACTTTCAAGTGTTGTCGCAGCGCGCGTGGCTGGCGGGGCAGCGCAGCGCGCCAGCCGGACCGAGCGGACCGGTGCCTCATGGTAAAATGGGTTTTGAAATGTTTGCAGAGCCGCGCCACGCCGCGAGGGGTGGCAGTTGTTTACACCCCCTCCCCCACCCCTCCGCGCACACCGAAATGAGCATCATACATCAAGCGCCCACGGCCAACAAATCTCGCAAGCAGCGCAGACATCGTGGAGCCCGCACTCGGAACGTGGACGAGCAAGCGACGGCCTCTGGGCACAGTGCTGAGCGACGAATTTTTCATCTGCTGAACTGCCGCTCCCTCCGGATTTTTCATATTTTTGAGGGGTGTTTTGTTTTGCTGACCGCTGGCTATCCAATTTGACGGGCTTCTTTGATACGACGCTAATTGCCAGCAAAAATCATTTTCTTGAATGTTTTGTTTCGTCGAGAAGAGTTGTCTTGATTTAAAACAAGTTTTTTTCAATAACTCAAGTCTCGTTTTCTTTTGCGGAGTGATACGGTTTGAAAAACGATTAGGTCCTGGAGGCAAGGGTCAAGTAAATGTGGCGAGTGGAAAAGGGGAGGGGGGCAAGCACTGCGGCTCCCGCCACCTCCTCCCTCCCTTCCTGCACAAATAAACAGTGGGCGCGGGTGAGGCAGTTTGTGTTCAAAACACGCGCTAAGCCGGCTCTGTTTTAACAGCGAAGAGGAGGCGGCGCATCGAAGTGATGGGGGCCCAGAGGTGAAGAGAAGAAGAGTCCTGCCCATTTTTCAGTTTCATGGAATGGAAATTAATTAACTAAACCTGCTGCCAGCGTGTGGTGAGACCCGTCGTCTGTTCCCTTTTTAGCAGCGCACATTATTTTGTTTTTAACATTGTATTTTTACACACCGAACTCCAAACGGGAGCAGTACCAACGACTGAAACGTGACAGAATCCTCCCCCATCTGTCTCCTTTTTCCCCCTTTGAGGCAGTGTAGCGGAAAAGAGAGATTTCCAGACGAGACTGCCAAGATAAATCTGGAGCAGGAATACCTTCCGGATGCCATGATACGCATGAGAGGCCTTCTGTAAAAATGCTCCTTTTTTCTATTGGTACACGGTTTAAACAAAACAACACTCCGAGAGCACACTCAGAAATTTTTTGAAAAAATCTGGTCATTAATTTGAGATGAGAATCACATTGGGAGGCACATTGGGTTCGAACAGGTCTCTGGAGGCATACGGTACCGGCACTGCTCTCCCACATTGCTAGAGGTACCCGTATGGGGTTCGTACCTGGAAAGGTGTCTGAGGTTCAGATGCAGGTACTTCCGAGAAGCCACTGCGCCGTAAACTGGCAAAGGCTTTGTCGCATTGGTTCCGTTCCTTCCCGTCGCCGGGCGTCGCCGGGCGTCGCCGGGTCCAGGGTACGTTCGTAAAGCCGTGAGCCATAAAGACTGCACGTTTTTTCGCAGACGCTCCCTCGCGCTCCCTAGCCAGCGCCTCGGAGAGTACGCACTCTCTCGTCGCCTTCGCTGCCAGCACTGCAGTGCATTGATTGAAAATAATTGATTACCTAGGGTGTAAAAGTGCAGTTATCGCGCAAGCTCGTCCGATTTCAGTTTGTGTAAAATTACAGTGTTATAACCAACAGTGACGGCCCACTCACTCCGCTTCTTCACGGCTGAGTGATCATGTCCAAGCTAAAACTGACGCAACTCCGCAAAGTCGGCAAAAAATATTTTCGCGGTGTAGTGCTGCTGCTGCGACACCAAGGCCAGGCAGTGTGGGAGTGGGTACCCTACCCTCCTCTGTGAGCGTGAGCACCCGGACTCGGCCGCCGCTGCCTCAGCATGTCAACAAACATGCGACACCCGTCACCTGCTGGGGGTCGCGGGGAAACAGGGCGGCCTCTGCAGTAACCCTTCGCGGGCCAGCAGATTGATTCAGAGAGTCGTTCTCTTCGCTCTGTCTCTCTCGCACCTGTACGGGACGTCCCATGAGTGTGCGAGAGAGACGGAGCGACGAAAACTACTCTAGCTTGCAGCACCCCATGGTGCTGTGAGGCGCCCCCATCGTTTAGGTCTCCTTGTGAACCGGGACAGTCGTCGCGTCTGCAACCCACTTCTGTTGTTTCAAGTTTTCGAAATGCCCCACCTTGCCTCACGCTGCCGCCTGTTGTGTGCTCCGCCACACGATCGAGATGCTGAGCCCAAACAAATTGTGCGGAACTGTGTCAGTCGGATAAAAACTGGTCGATTCAGCATGGCAAGCGTGGCTGTGCAACTTCTCGCATTTCCTCCAGCTGGCTGCTGTGGCGCCCGGCGTCCACGTCGTGCACGTGCAGGCCGGGGGCCGTCCCTAAACACGGGAACCGCTCCCGTTGGCGCTCCCGGCGCAGCCACCGCTCTGTCTCTCTCGCACTCGTGGGGCGTTCAGTACAGGTGCGAGAGAGACAGAGCGACGCGCGGCGCCACGTGCAGCATGCAGGACAATCAATAGGAGCAGGAGGCCGCCACCACACCGCCTTCCATCCCGCATCCGGGCGCCGCGCATGCGCACGCCAACCACACTGGTAGAACTCAAGCGTACTTTTACGCCTTTCTTCAAGCGTAGTAGAACTCCCGCCTATCTAAATGCATGGGAGAATTTCTTCTCTACGCTTGACTTCAAGCGTAAAGTCTTCAAGCGAAGTTGTATGCTTGAATGAAGCATACAACTACGCTCTAGTTTTACCAGTGCACGCCGCTCTCGAAGCGCGTCAAAAAGAGGACGTTTTCGTGAAGAAAGAGCGCTCTCAGATTTACACGCGTCTCGCGTCCCTCTGCTCCTCCTCCTCGCTCCCACTCTACATTCACTTTCGCTCGCCAAAGTCGGAGTCCGAGCGGCAAACTCGACGGAAAAAGCGACCCTATGCCCGACTGAACTGCCACACAGTCCCGGGCAGAAATACGTGACGAAATATTTGTCGAGCTCATTTGCGAGCCGAGGGATCTGGGAGGACGTATAGGGTTGCGCCCTGGACATGGACACGGACATGGACATGCAGAGCTTGGCGAATCCCTGAACTCACTTGGCGAAAAACGTGTTCGGTCCCAGGCAAAGGGCGAGCGCTCGCGCCTGGATGCTCTGTAAAGCCAACTGTTTACATTGAGAAAATGTTGGAAACATTGAATTTTTCATCACACCCTAATGGACAATTCTTTTCGTGACTCGACTTTAAAATTTTGTAACAATTGTTACTCTTGGCAAAGTTGCCAAACAAGCAACAACAAAATTCCTGCGCCTACGTAAGTCCTTACCCAACATGCTAATATATTTTCTAGGAGAACTGGAGTTAGGTGAAGTGGGCCAGTCCGTCCGAATCCCGCGGGAGCAGGGAAACAAGAATGAAGTGAGCCTCACCGCCCCTCACCCAAACGACACACTCTTTCTCTTTCGGAAACTCGAGCCGGTCTTGAGCCGCTTGATGGCCGGGCTCTCGCCATTGGCTTAAAACTAATGAATCGACGCGATGAAAGGATTCCATGACGGCGCAGAACGGCGGTGCGGGGCGAGGCGGCGGGGCGGCCAGGGGACCAAGGGGAGTGGAGTGTCGCCCGGCCGGGCCGTAAGCTACGGCCTGGCATCGTAAACGGACAAAGGAAAACAAGCACACGCTTGTGTCATGCCCGGGGCGGGGCGGGGCGGGGCGGGGGGCGAAAGGTGGAGATGGGGCGGAAGGGAAGGGCGTTCGTTAAACGGGCAGTGCGGCTAAAGGCCCCGTGAACAAGAGGCCGCGAAGGACTCGGAGTGTCAAAGAGACAAAACAGAGCCGCAAAGAATTTGGTTTCTGGAATGAAAGACTGCCGAGCCCACGGGCTGCAGGAAGTCGCGGCGGCTTGTGCCACTGCTTTAAAGTTTGTGCGTCAAACTAACCTTACAATTAGGCAAAGAAATTTTATGTGTATGCAAAAGAGTTTTAAGAATTTACTAACTCATTCTTCGTGGGACAATAAACTGAATAGTGTATATTTGCATGCAGACCCACGACTCATTTTTGGCTTGTGATGTGCGCCTCCATACTATGGTGATGCTATGCGGCTGCCCCTGGAAAGTGGCTTCGTGGGGATGCAGGGCTGGGCTGCCTGGCACGTCGCCGTGGAGCAGAGGGTGGCGGTGCCCTGGCGGTGCCCTGGCTGCCCTTATTGGCACGATAAGGCCCGGAGCAGACGGCGCTATAGCAGCCCGATGCCGCACAGTGCTCTCGCCGCTTGTCTCTCTCGCACCGTGGGGCGTCCCGTGGGGATGGGTGCGAGGGAGACAGGGTGACGAAAGCGCTGTTCGGAATCTGAATACACCGACGGCGCGCCGCCCGACACTGGCTCTGCATGGCGGGGTAGAGATAGGGGTGCTACTAGGCAGCACGACCCCGGGGCGCTCGAGGTCGTGGAGGTCGTGGAGGCCGTGGGGGCCGTGGAGGCCGTGGGGGCCGTGGAGGCCGTGGGGGCCGTGGAGGCCGTGGGGGCCGTGGGGGTTGTGATGGTTCGCAAACCGAGTCGCCGGACAGAGGTTCAAGCTTCGAGGGGCAGTCGCCCTCTGCATAATCCTTTAGACCCACGACGACCCGAGGTCTGTCGGGGTCTGTCAGACTCCCTGGACTCCCTGGACTCACCTCGGCTAGTATCCTATAGTCCCAGCGGCATTGGCACGCTGTGCTGCCGGCGTGAGCGGCGCCATGCGCGTGGTCGGCCCAATTCCGTTTGCACTCACACACACACACACACACGCACACACTGCACTGCACAACACGACACGGAAACACCTGCACTGGCCGGGACTGTCTGCGACGCACTCTCGCGGACTCGCGGACCGTACCGGCGCCGCACACATGCGAAGTGCGGTGCCCTGGCTTTGGCCCTGGCGCTGCCTCGCGGGTCGCGACGGTCGCGACGGGCTTGTGGCTTGTGCGCTGCAGCGCGGCTCGGTACGGCGCGGCGACCCAGGCGGCGCGGCGACCCAACGCGTCGCTTCGTCCTCTCGCTGCCCTCGGCGGACGGGGACGTCTGTGGATTGGACCAGACCCAGACCCACACCGCACGCCGCCCCGCTAAATCTGGCCTCCCCGCGCCGCCCCACGCCCTGCCGGCCCTGCCCTGCCGCGCCGGCCTCCCACCAGTGTGGTGGTGACGCCCTTCCCCGCCCACCGCCCCTCCCCCTCTCCGCCCGGGCGCTGTGTGCAGGGATTGCGTGTTATTATTATGTCCGGAGGCATGGAGTGAGTGAGTGTACAGCCGGTGGCGCTCCGGGGCCGTATTAAACGGATTATCGTATTACGGGGACATTAGCTGCATTAGCCGTGCAGCGGGTTGGGCCCCAATGCCCTTGCAGTGACGACAAACTGTTTCGCGCCAACGTTGAATGAGTTGCGAGCCGAAA